GTTACGCTTGCTAAACAGAAACGATGTTTAAAAGGACTACTACTGCCTCGTTTCTCGTGGACTATACTTTCCTGTATTAAACAAGACAGCTCGTATCAGGGTGAAGCCCTTAAAGTTCCGACTGCCTTTTAAGGTTTATGGAGCAGTAGTAACATAAATATCATTAGCAAATTAAATGTGAAAAAAAGGACAAATTTTTTTTCTCTAAAATTTGAAATTTTTTTATAAACATCATCCCCCACACGCCACATAAACTACAAAAGAATAGATTTCGCTCCTTGTAACAAGTCAGTTATGGCAAATAAGCTTCTTTCAAACAATTTGGAACGATTTCTAAGACGGATTAAATCTCCGCTTACGCGTTAATTGCGCGAAATATATATCGCGCTTTAATTTACCTCCAAATTGGCCAAATTGGCAATCTTTTAACCCCCATAACTTTACGAAAAATTATCACAGGTGAACTATTTTTTCAAATTTAAGCTCAGGACAGCAAAACCTTTTGAATGATATAAAAAAATTTTGTCAAAAATGGCTAGTTAAAAAGTCGAAATTTGTCTGAACAAAAAAATCTACCCGTGCACAAATATTCCGTTACTTTCGTATCGAAAATCGGAACAATAACGGAGCAGTACATCAGTGCCGAAGTACAACAGTGTCGAAAAAGAAAAACTAATTCAACACTGCCGAAAATAAAAATTTTGTTCAACAGTGCCGGAAACTTGAACAAATTTCAACATATTACGTGCAGCAATCAAAAATTAAACGGCGGTGATTTACCATCTTAAGTAAGATTTTGAACGAGAAAATTTGCAACTTCGACGTTTTCATTAATTGTTGAGTTTGCAGTTGCAGACATTTTGGAGCCAAAATTGGAGTGACTTTCTTTGTTAATTAGCGTCAGTAATTTCCCGCTCTTCAGAAAATTCGTTTAAATTATTCTGAAATTATTCTTAAATCATTCTAAATTATTCTTAAATTTCCCGCCTTTTTCGGCACTGTTGTACTTCGGCACTGTTGAACGCTCCCTAAATAAAACAAGAATTCTGTAGAAGTTGATTGTGATTTTTCGGAAGTGGGAGGTGGGTGTTGCGTTTACAAAAGAAAATATATTGACCACTTTTGGTCAAATCAATTAATTTTTTTAGTTCTCCCAACACTCTATATAGACCTCATTTAGCCCCAATTTACTGACTATAACCTTCCAAAAAAATACTTTTTACTTACGCTTAGGTATGTTTTGACAAAAAAAACCCGGTTACTTCAGGCGCAACATATGATCCATGGCGCCATATGTTTTTAGAAGATGTTTAGGCAGCCTGGGAAATTAGACGATACGCAAATTAGACGGATGCTACAAAAACAAAATTAGACGTAATTTATTTTTTACAGATCTGGCATTTTAGACGAAAAAGCTATGAAAAGGAAAAGGCCAGCAAAGTTTTTTCTTAAGAGTCAAGTTTCACAAATACAAAAAGAACATAAAATGTCAATACCTAGCAAAACAATTAGTTTAAATGAACAAAAATGTCAAATCCGAACATTACAAGAGAGTTTTGAATTGAATAATTTATGCATGATTGACTTGTAAAGTTTTTGGCTACCGAAATTTAACTGTTGTCTACAAACAGTTATATTTTTCACGCGCAATTGCAATTTCTCTTTTACTTTCGTCTATTTTCTCACAATTGCAGTTTTGCAAAATCGTCTATATTCCTTTTAAGTACCTCCGTTTAGTTTGCTTATCGTTTAATTTCTCAACCTCCGAAGTTTAGGGTTAATCAGTCAAAAGTGATAGTTGAAAAATAAAACCAAAAGGTACTCTTTTGGTGTAAGCTTTTGCAAACAATGATAAGTTTGGCATTTTTGAAACCCCCAAAATTTAACAAAAAATAATCGGAGGTAAAATATATTTTTTCATATTTGAACTCAGGAAAGGTATAAAAGTTTTTGGTGAAAACAATTATTTCGATCGGCGAAAATTGACTGAATAAAAAACCACACCGAGCATAAATATTCCGTTTTCTTCGAAAGTCGGAACAACAAAACGCAACTTCTATGTCCCGTGAGATGTAGTTTATCTAGAAGTTAACATCATTTGACCAAAAACTCTGTAACTGTCCTAAAAACTTGATATGATTATGGAGAAGGCGAAAACATAAATCATCTTTTGAGTTTGGCTTGGTTCGTACTTCATTTCCAGTTTGGAACATCAAAAAAAATTGAGAGAATTTTACAACTTAGGTTTGAAGCGTTGAAAAATAGACTTTTATAATGAAACAAGCTTCATTTTTATATCAAGGCTGGTGCTCAGTGTACCAAGTTACGTAATCTTTCATTATAAATAAAGCTTTTATTAGTTATAGAGTTGTTCCGTTTATAAAAAATTTCGAAAGAGAAAAATCAACATGAAGCCTTGTCGCAGCTGTGTTTTTGGTCTGCCGGATCAATTCCAGTTAAGACATTTTTTAATTCGTTATAAGTTGAATTGCTTATCAATTTAGGAGTCATTTTGTCACTTCAATGACCTATATACTTCACTGATTTCAACTTGAATATGAACTATTTTCGTTGGCTTTAGCTGAAGATGCATCAAGAGACCGAGAAAACAGCTGCGTCAAAGCTCCCTGTAGATTTTTTGCTGGTAAACTGTTGTAAAACGGGTTGACTCACGGCGGAAACAATCAGGCGTGAAAAAACTTTGAAGAGACTTTTGGCGACCACAAACAGTGGTGAAATTAGTTCAACTTGAACCACTTCAGTGCAAAATGTTAATGACAAGAAGTCACTTACAAAAAATTTTCAAACATAAACATACTTCATTTTTATTTTTGTGCGGATCTGAAAAGCAAAATTAGTCTACAAAATTTTTAGCTTTGAAACAAATTGAACTTTTGAAGCTGGCCACGCAATGCTATTTTCTTCTTTTGGAAGTGTCGCTTACTCCATGGTAACTATAAAACTTTGGATTGTTTTTTGGGAGAAAATCAGGCTATTAGAGAAGCGTTGCAAAAGGGTTTAGATGAAATGTTACACTGGAGCCCTGAAGCTATTTGTAAAAAAAATAGCACAAAAAAGTCTCTGTGAAGTATGATTGGCCAAAAAACACTACCTGCACTATTGTTAGTTCTACAAATAAATTATAAGTTCTACAAAAAGCGCCGCAATCAAATACTACATTTTTGTCAAAAAAAATTTTAAAGATGCCCTTTTTATCTGGGTTATCAAAAAAATTAAAAGACTGATTTAGTGGGCTTCCCAAAGGAAGAAATCAAAACAAAAGACCCCTTTTTGACTTTTGTTACAAAAAGTTTTTGAAAGGCGCCTTTGAAATGCGCGCGATACGGCTCGTTATAATAACGAGCAAGCACCTATTAAATTCCGATCCAGAAATTGTTCCTATTTGATTTTGGGCAAATTAGTAGGAAGTATTAATTTATGGCTGGGTTCTACAAGATTGCTTTAAGATCAGGGCAAAAAAATTCATCGGCAAAAAAATGTAGCTTCAGAAAACTAATGAAGTAATCGAAAAAAGTCGAGAAAAATGAAATTGAGCTGTGTCAATTCAAAGACATGTTATTGGCGTCTCGTATTGCATCAACGAGATTAAAATGCTGGCCTCGCATCAAGGTGTAACTAATCGTTTTGCCGCTTACACGCGTTGCATAACCGCAAAAATGGCGTTTTTTTTTGTTCCAAATAATAAAAAAAATTAGCACGTTTTAAAAACTAAAACTTTTCAAAGAATGATCCCAGATAAAAAAAACTTTGATACACTTAAGCCCAAGACAACAATATACTTGAGATGGTTTAAAGAAATAGTTAGAAACGTTTAGTTTAAAAGTCGAAATTCCATTGAATTAAAAACTTCCCCGATCATAAATGATTCGTCAGTTTCGTCGAAAGCGGAACAAAAAAAAGTAATTTTAAACTTTAAATAGCGTGCGGGTAATATTTTACATGAAAAAAAAAATGAAAAAATATCTGTTAATTTATGTGTTTTGTTAGATTTTTGTCAATTTTCACGTTATGTTTTTCTTTATTTTTTTAAAAGGATGACTAATGAGTTCTTTGACTTTTACAGACAGTCGGAATTTTCAAAGTTTTGCCCGGAATTGAAATTATCTCTGACATTTTTGTTTATTCACAAACAGTTTTCAGGATGCTTTCCGTTATTGCCGCCGCAGACTCTTCTGTTTTTTTTTAACGAAAGACTCATGAGAGAGTTCTATTCAAGATCAGGTTTTTAAATTTTTTTTTCGAAAAGTCTTAAATTATTAAAGTTTGTTCACACTCAAATTTGAAATTTTGCTGTTTGATTTCAGGTTTATCTTTCAATTAATTTTGTTTTTTTTTGAAAGGAAGACAAACCCCACTACTAAACAGCAAAACAGTAAAGGTCACAAAACACGATCAAATACTAATTTCGAAAGATGGTATTTCTTTTTCAGATTTCCCAGCGGAATAAAAATTTTATCTGTTGATCTAGTGTTCAAAATTGAGTTAATTTTATCAAAAAAAAACGATGTATCACAAATTGATCTTGATAATCAAATAGCTGCAATGCCATATATTTTTCACTTTGAAACTCAAAAGTAGACATTGTAGTTAAACACGTTATTAAACTTTTCCAACTAAAAAATACGAAATTTTACATTAGTATTGCATTAATACTAATGGGCACAGCATTATCGTAAATTAAGAAGTGCTGCCCTGCAAAATAAACAAAGAGAAAGGAAAGGGAGGAATTTGAATTAAAATTTAATATTTTAGTAGCCCTCTCTTATTTTCTTTTCTCCATCATCAAACAAGCACCCTTGTTGCTTTGCCTATTTACTTTCTAAGTTCGAAAAGTACGTCTCTGGACAGATTAAAAACAGCGGTCGAAAGAAGGATAAAAGTTACCCAAAAAGCCAAACTGAGTCAATAATTGCTTTTATTTATTCCGTTTTTTCTCTCCTTCTTTCAAGCGACTCCTTATGTGTGTTGGTGTGTTGCAGGATCTTCACTCGCTGTCCAAATCAGTGGTGATCATGTTATCTCAACTTCTTTTCATCCTACTCGGTAAGTTCAAACTACTTTCAGTTTTCAGTAGAGAGTTTCTCCGGAAAAAAATCAAACATTGTTTTGGACCTTTTGAAGCATTTAATTTTGGTAAATATGTGTAGCATTAGCGTCATCAAATAACAATTGGGAGGATGTAATGTTTGCGAGATGAATCAAAAAAGGCGGTCAATTGGTGAATTTGATTATTCTGGCTCTAACAAAGTAGTAAACAAGCCCCAAGTTTCTCATCATGGTCGGAAAACATGTAAAACATGCTATAAACTTCATTGCATGTTTTCGGGTCGCGTTTACCCTTTAAGCTCATCATATTTTGCCTCTGTGGGCATTTTTCAAATACACAATTTTCGAACGAAATGGATGTAGTAAAATTTATCTAAATGGTAGAGTCTTGGCCGTATAAATGATTTCAATTCCCTTGGAAGATAGTCCGGCATAGATCCCCCAACTCGTTACATC